TGTATAATATTTGGTGCATCTATAGTAGCCGTCCAACACTGTAAGGCAAGATACCAACATGTGCATCTTCCCTCTTCTGTCAGGCTCTTTATCAAGTACTCTGTGATGACTGTAATGTTATTTTGTGAGTCCACAATTAAAAGGACTGGGAAATGTGTACCCATATCAAAGGAAAGAGGCAGACCTGGGAGAAGAGCAGGAAAAGAGGGTTCTTTGGGCATAAGCCTCACCCTCACCCCAAGAGATGGTGGGGCATGAGGAACAACGTGAAGATCTACCTGTCTGTCTTGCTTATGCTGCTGCATCTCCTGAGATAGCTTGCCACCCCTCATGAGTAATTATCTTCTCTTCGGGTACCCTTGACTAGGGCACCCCATGGCTAGGGCAAGAGAAGAGGGAAAGAAGAGTATTGGGACACTGAGTTGCAAGTAATAGTTTGTCTGAGAGGAGGAAGTTGAGGCAGACAAGGGAAGTTGCTTCTTCACATAGTACTGAACATGGGAATGAAGAAAGTGGTGCCCAGTGAACGTTTTCAGCTGGATATCATCATAGCAGAACAACAAAGAGAAAGGAGGAGTTTCTGTTGAAGTCTTTGTGAATCACACAGCAGGGACATTACTCAGCTTTTCCCACCCCTGATAGGTCAGAAGAAGAGAAAGTTCGCCTGTCATTAGAAATAACTTACATTTTAGCAGTGCTGTTAGCTCAAACTTGTAAATACAGACACAACTCCCTGCAAAAAAACTTGAAGTTGAACTATTTAGAAAGGTGAACTGAATAAGTCTGATTTAAGAGTAATAACAATCTCGTTAACCATCTGCAGTAGATAATCGTGATTAGGCACTGTCCTTTCCATAACCTTGCCCTGTCTCTGTGTGTGAAGGTGCTGATGAATTGAGGCTGGCAAATGGAACTAGACCCTGCTCTGGGAGAGTGGAAGTAAAACATCAGGAGCAGTGGGGAACTGTGTGTGATGGTGACTGGACCATAAAAGATGCTGAGGTTGTTTGTAAGCAGCTACGATGCGGATTTGCTCTTCAGGCCCTTAATCGAGCTCCTTTTGGAGAAGGATCTGGACCAACGTGGTTGTATGGACTTGATTGCCGTGGTGATGAATCAGCTCTCTGGAATTGCTCACATGCAGGATGGGGTGTTTTTACTTGCCCTCATTACTTTGATACTGGAGTGGTCTGCTCAGGTAAGAAGTCACCCAACCTTGTATAATAGAAAAATGCTACGAGGCTGAGGTCAAACTTTGTCCTAGCTGGAAAAAGCCAACTACTGCACAGAGGTAACACTTTCTCCATAGCCTCTGCTCAGCCAAAGCAAGTTGCACAAGCATGAAGTCTTCTGCTTACTAGAAGTGTATGTCTCCTTTGCCTGGGCACAGCAGTGACATAATGGAAGTAGACATAGTAAATGACATAGAAGAGTGTGCTGGTTTTGGCTGGGATAGAGTTAATTTTCTTCTTTCTCATTTGAATAATGAAGCCTCAAGGACAGACACTAGTAAATGGCTATTTATTTATTTGTTTGTTTGGGGATTGCTACTTCTCAAGCATTTGGAAAATGTTCAAAACTTCCCTCCTGTAGCTTCCCAAGGATTTAGTATTTTCACATACTAAGAAATAAGCATTCCCACACAGCATTTTCTGTCTTGGTGGTGGCATACGGAATTGTCACAATGTTTATTTAAAAGTGTCAGTGGTCGTCAGAGAAGTGACATGTGTGTTGCCCATGAAGGTATGGGAATTATTAAATTAGGTCAGTACAACCAACCCTTGGTGCTGGATTTCTTGGATTTTTTTTCCAGGTTTCTCTAGGCTGCGTCTGACTGGAGGGGACACTGCCTGCTCAGGACATCTGAAAGTGCAGCAAGAAGAAACCTGGGCTACGGTCTGTTTTTCACACATTGATTTTAAAACTGCCTCTGTTATATGCAATGAGTTAGAATGTGGCCAGCCTGTGGATATCTTGAGAGGAACTCACTTTGGAGATAGACATGAACTGATCTGGCAAGAAGAGTTTCACTGTGTAGGGAATGAGACTCACCTTGCACAGTGTCACAGGATGCTGCACCATAATAAGACATGCTCTTATGATGCCACTGTTGTATGTTCAGGTGAGACTTTGGACTGATGGATGTAATTTACATATGTCCTATATGTTTTCTTCCTGTCAACCCACCGTTCAGAGCCTCTGCATATTTCTGTAGTCCTCAGGGTTCTTGGGTGCTTCCCTAATCATGCCCTGAGCCATCCAGGGAAGGCCAGGAAGTAATAAAGTGCAGCCCCACAATCTCTCATTCACTCGAGAGTGTGCATTTAACATGGGCTGTTCTAACCACTTCACTTCTGCACCAGGGATGCAGATCTCAAAAGGGCTGTAATTTCTTTTATGCTACTAGAGGTATGCACTCAATAGTGCTGAGAATTCCTTCCATGTCTTTCTCATATACATAAAAGGAGAGATGGCCAGAGCAGACAAGCAGCAACATGGAGAAATGAATTTATTTTCTGTGCTGCCAGTGTGTATGTTAATCTCCAGCACTTCAGTTAATTATAAAACTGGGAGAGGTACCATGCCTCCAAAAGGTCAAAGGACGCACAAGTTACAAATTGAAGTTATCTAAAAAAGAAAAATGAAAAAGTTGTCAAGAGGCCTGGATGACTTTAGTTGTGACTGCCAGGTAACATTATTTAAGAACTCCATACAGTCATGGCTGCTGGGGGCTCTAAATACATCTAACTTACTGCCACCAACTACAAAAGTGATGATTAGACCTAGCAAACACAGGGCACAAATCAAAAGGGGTAAACTGAACATGGGGCAGAGCTGCTGTCAACACCCTGTCACAAAGCAAGCCTGGAAAGGACTGCAGTTCATGTCCATTTCCCAGTCAAAGGGCTGCAGTCTGTTTGAAGACTGCCTTGGACACTATCCCACTGGCCATGGCAATCTGGAGTGCTGGCTGGGCAGCTGTGACGGCCAAACAGCGCAGTTAAGGTATCAGTAACTGACAGGTCTTGGGTCCTTCCTCCATCTTGCTAGAGTCACAGCTCAGAGTGGAAATCCAGGTCTCATTAGGGGGAGTATGATGCAAGGACCAGGCAAGGGTAAGAAGTAACAGTGTGAGAAGACAGAGGGACTGCATGGGGCTGGCAGTAGGACACCATAGTCCTACCCATGCCGCACTTAAATTATTGTGAATATGCTGATGGGCATGGCCTGTTGTGTTCAGAGCCTTATGCTGTGGCATGGGTGAAAGTTGAGAATTGTATGCCGCAGCTGCTGCTTACCGGGTAATGTGAGATGACTAACTACTGGGAGAGAGAGTGCTACTGGTAGCTCCTGCTCTGAGTTTCTCACGTGCTCCAAATGCAAGGCAATGCTGGAACTGCCTCTGCAAGAAAAGATGTTGCAAGGCAGCAGCAACAACTATTATGGGGGAGGAGAGAGCAGAGAAAAGGAGGAGAGACTGAACTTAAAGAGTCAAAAGACTGTTAGTGATGTAGTGCAGGCTACAACATGGACAATAAAGACCTTTTTTTTTTTCAGAGCTGGCTTATGAGCATCCTGGTCTAACATGCTTCCCAGTAACCTGAGACACAGCAAGTGTTAGTTCCTTGCAGCTAGATCTCTCTTACAATTTTCAGTGCAATGACACAAAAAAAAATATAACTGCTAAGTTCCTTTATTCTTCCTGCAGGCTATGGTGGGTACAGGCTGGCAAACGGCAGCACCAGATGTTCAGGGAGAGTAGAGCTTCTTCATGGAGGCACGTGGGGAACCCTGTGTGACTACCTGTGGGATTTGCCAGCTGCTGACGCCCTCTGCCAGCAGCTGGACTGTGGAATTGCCCTAATGATACCAGATGGACAGTCCTTCGGGAAAGGAAATGGATCTGTCTGGAATGGCACATTCAGCTGCAAGAAGAATGGCTCACGCCTGAGAGACTGCCTTGTGAGTGTGCGAGGTCATGATGAATGCCCTGCTGGAAAAGTTGCTCGTGTGGTATGTTCAGGTGAGCAGCGGAAAGGTCTAAGAGGAGAACTGAAAAACTCCTTTGAGGACTTCACCTGTATCACAAGGCTGTTCTTTGTGAAATGCTCCTAGTGTCAGGGAACAGCAAGAACAGGGCTGCTCCACAAGGTAGGATGAGCTGGGGGCAGCGAGTGAGGACAACACAGTCAGTGTGTCCTTACCCACCAAGGCACAATCCAAAGCATCTGCAGAGAGGACAGAGGAAGGTACAGATAACAAGGTCTACGCACAGTCCTAGACAAGGCAAAGTAATCAATCAGATGTAGGGTCCAACTGGAGAGTACAGTCAGGAGTAGCAGGAGACAAGACTGGAGGCAGTTACACCAGCTACATGGTTGAGGCAAGGACTGAAGGCCTGGTCCAGGTTTAAGTGAGGCCTTGGACCAGTAGCCCAAGGGTACATAGCTGGAGGCCCTAGGTGAGGTGGCTGGTCAGAACAATTAAGGTCTATTGGTTCACCCAGAGCTCTGAAACCTAGTGCCCTGGGTTTAAAAATGGCAAAGGGGACCAGATCCTGACTTCTAGTCGTTCTTCTTAGTAAAATAGGGTGGGCTGAAGTCTAGTTATGAGTATGGAAGTTCCTGTGGCCCAGTGGAGTAATTTTTACTACTGAATGCTAAGGAAAACTCATTCCCATTTCCCAGTCACTTTCAGGTCATGCCCATGAGCAGTTATGAACATGACATCTCGGTACTCACTTTCTCTTATATTCAGGGTGCCCAGGTGTCAGGTTGGTGAATGGCACCACATGCTCTGGCAGAGTGGAGGTCCGCCATGGAGACACGTGGGGAAGACTCTGCCGCTCCCACTGGAATTTGCAAGCTGCCAGCGTTCTCTGTCATCAGCTGAACTGTGGCTATGCAATGTCAATCCAGACAGGAGACCATTTCATGGATGGGGATGGGCCCATATGGAGAGATGTTTTTCACTGTGAAGGGACAGAGTCCTGCCTATGGGATTGTGCTCAAGTGACTTTGGGCAATCCAGCGTGTTCAGCCAGAGAAGCAGCCACTGTTATTTGCTCAGGTAAGTCAGGAGCGGCCTTTTATGGGTAGTGCGACTTCAGACCAAAGCAGCGTTGGTGATCTCACACTGCCAAGCAAGTCTGTTATGTCAGCCTGTCTTTAATGCCCTTTCCTTTCCTTTTGCCCATCCCTCCAACCTTGGTTTCAGCATAGAAACTTCATTTAGTAGAGGGATTCACATTGTTTAGATGTGCCTAACTCCTCACAGGATCTAGTGTTTGAGCTGGGGAAGCTTTTCTCGCTTCCCATTGCAGACCCCTGTGTGCATGAAAGCAAACAAAGCCTTAGCAGTGGCTGCCTCTTTAACCAGTGGTGAGAATTATTTTTTTACCAACATAGAAATTTGTCTTCCATCTCTCTTCTGCATGTTATTTCTACTGCAGTAGATGTTATTCAATACATTTTCCAACCCTCTTGAGCCCAGGTCTTGCTGAACCACTCAGACTCTCAGGTGGTGAGAGCCGCTGTGATGGGCGAGTTGAGATCTCACTCCATGGCATGTGGAGGAGAGTCCTGGATGATGACTGGAACATTAAGGATGCTCATGTGGTATGCAGACAGCTCCAGTGTGGAATTGCCGAGAAAGCCTATTACCTTCCAAGGTCTGAGCGAGGCATGGGTCCTGTTGGCTTAAGAAGTGTCCAGTGTGCTGGACATGAGACTCAGCTGATGCTCTGTAACACCTCCTGTCCTCAGACAGTGCCAACAGGAGTTGCTGAAGACATTGGTGTGTTTTGCTCAGGTGAGTTACTATGTGAAAGGTGCAGAATGCTTCCTAGGGTTGACTCTAGCCCACCTTGTGCTGTGGTCTCACCAGACCTATAGGCATGGGTCTGAGCTTGTGATACCCACCTGCTTGCATACTCTAAGGGACAAATGATAGTTGAGGAAGCAAGTGGAATTTACATAATGCTTTCTTCATCTGAATTTCTTCAAGAATTTCTCTCACAGAATCAAAAAGAAATAATACACATTCTGACTGTCACTTGGGAATTAAATAGGTTTTATTTTGTGACACTTCTATATTTATAGATACGTGCAGCCTTTCAAAGTAAATGAGAACTGTTTCTACTCTTGTCTTATTTTGTAACCCATCTGTAACAGAAACTGTCTCTGTCTAACTAAATGAGTTTAGATAGAAAACAGCTTCTCCAGCATTCTAAGATAAGGTGATCTCTGTATATAATTAGCATGACTAGACACTCCTCCTTGTTTGCAACATCTCACAGGAATTATTCAAACACTTACCTGATGCAGGAGTAGGCCTTTCCCTTTATGCGGTTTTAGCATCACAGGAGTTCTGCCCAAGAAACCATAACAGAAGGACTGGAATATAACAAGAAGGTGGTGCCTTAAAAGTGTTTTAAACATACAGCCATTATGCTGACCCTGTGCATTATCATTATATTGCATGTTGATGGTTGGGTTTTCTTCCTGCAGGTAGCAGACAGATCAGGCTGGTGAATGGAACAAACCGATGTGCTGGGAGAGTAGAGCTTTATCATGACGGCATCTGGGGCACCGTCTGTGATGATAACTGGGACCTATCAGATGCTAATGTTGTTTGCAAACAGCTGGGATGTGGACATGCCATCAAGGAATTTGTCTCTGCTCATTATGGTGAAGGCTCAGGACGTATCTGGCTGGATGATGTGAACTGCACTGGGGCTGAATCTGATCTCTGGGCATGTCCCTCTAGGGCATGGGGCCAGCACAACTGCCAACACAAAGAGGATGCAGGAGTCCTATGCTCAGGTGTGTTCAGAAAAGCCTTTTCTGAGCCTGTGGGTTGAAAGGGGAGGGTTACGTGAGGGGAAGCAGAGAGTAGTGGAGGCTTGCTTGGACAGCCTCTTGCTCTCTGGCTACAAGCATAGCTGGTCAGCATATCCCCTTGGTCCCACCAAGATTGAAAGGGTCTGCAGAAGTCCTAATTTTGCATTAACACACACACACAAAGAAGTGTGTGGTGGGGTGGTATATTTGGGGGGTAAATTGGAGGGTTTCCATAAAGATTTCCACAGCAAGGGGCTGTGGGTATTCCTTGTGCAGGAGGAGGTCATCAACTGCCATGTGCCCGTTACAGTCAGTTACAGCTGGCTCTGAGACCAATGGAAATAACACGCTGTGCACCAAAGAATCAATTAATCAGAAGAGCACATGGTAGCTCTGCTCATGCATATTTGAGACAGAGTGGCAGCTGCAAGGAGAGGAGAAATGAAGAAGCAGAAAAAGACACTGCTGGGGACATGGCTGGAGACACGGTTTCCATGCTAGAGAAGGTATCCCTCTGAGAGGGCTGTGGCCTACGGATAAGCCATACTGGAACAGACACACTGCTGAAGGGACTGCAGGCTGTGGAGGACCCACAATGGACCAAGTACAAACCCTGAAAGGACTGCAGCCTTTGGAGACCCCATAATGGAGTAAATACAACCCCTGAAGGGACTGCAGCCTGGAGTAGAGGAAAATGAATAAGAAGCAAGGAGCAGCAGAAAGAAAACACAACCACCTGCACTGCCACCCTCACTGAAGGAATTGGGAGGGAAAACAAAGGAATTTAGGACTAACGGAGTGGATCAAAGGCTTTTTCCCTAAACGTTTGTTCAATTTTTAATGTTTTCTTTTATTTCCTCATTACCCAAAGCAATAATTAAGATTATGTTAAGTGCAAAAAATAAAATTAAGTTACATTTCCCAAGTGGAAACAGTTTTGTCCATGATAGCAGACAGTAAATGTGGGAGAAGCTCTGGCAACACTAGTACCTGGCATGCCCTGGGACTGGAATAATTGTAGTGACTTCAAAGCTCCAGAGAAGCCTTGATTCTGATATTGGAAATTTGTCTTGTTGTGGTGTCATGTAAATGGCACATTCATTGTCGGGGGGGGTGGTGGGGCAGAGCAGGGAAGGGTACAACCTATGTGTAAACAGGTGGGAAATGGAGAGTGTCACAGACCCTGTTGGAGGGGAAGGTGATTGGGAAGAACTCCAGTGGCCTGGAGCCTGGATATTTTTTGTGCAAGAATATCAGCCCAGGACATGCAAAGGGGTTATGTTGCCTGTGAAACCCCAAGAGAGTGGTGTGTTGCTTTGCTGTGGGGTACACCAGAGCGTAGCATGTCCTCACAGCAGGGCTTCAGGAGGCAGCGGGACAGCTTAGCAGAGCTGAGGAATCTGGTTGATGGTCTCTGTCAGAGTAATGGTCTGCTAAAGTGTTGTTAACTAGTGCTCAGCACAAAAGAGAGGATTCTGGCCAGAAGTTAGCCACTAGTAGCACTGAAATGGCCAAATTGCAAGCTTCAGGGCTGCTCTTGGGAGCTCCTACAGCTTAGATTGACTGACCTGGAGGGGGACCCTGACACCTTGGGAGGGAAAACTAGGGGCTCATGATGGATTAAAAAATTAGTCCTTTCAGGCAGCCTGAGTTACAGTAATTAAGGAGCGCTACAGAAGAGGGTACGCTGCTCCCCAGACTGTGACCACTCAATGGGTCTTTACTCTGAGTGTAAATGAATGGAGAAATGTGGAGAAACTTACAGTCACTGCTCCAGGGAGAGGCCTCTACAGTGGCTATGGCATTGCTGGGACAGTTCAGGGCGTAAGCCACTTGTAAAGACTGTACTGCACAATGTAGGAGGGCTTTGGTATCAGTTTATGGAGAGATATGTTGAGTAGTGCCTAATCGTGCTGATCCTACAACCAAAATACCCCTTTGAAAGAACTGGGAAGAAGGGGATAATGAACTGCAGTTTCCTGGACTGCTGGAGTGTGGCAAAGGGAGAGGGACACTGAAAAGCATGTGGTAACTAATGTTAGGGCTTGAAATCTCCAATGGCTGGGCACAGTTACTCATGCTCCTCCGGTGCCACCTGGTGGGATGCCCTGTTGATCAAGGAGTGACCTACGTATACCATTCTGGAGTGAGGATCCCAGAAAAGGAGTGCAAGCTTAGCAGCGTGAATGAGGTTAATACCAAGGATCCAGCAGTATGGTCAACCTCAGGAAACACATGAAGAGAGAATGAGAATTCTGCACGTCCCCCTCCTACACACTGAGACTTAAGGATGTATCTGAAAGAAAAGGGAGACAATATGAGAGACTGGGAGGAAAAGCCCTTCACAGACCTAGCATTGTGAGCACAGGAGAGAGGTGAGAGCTTATTTAAACCATTCCCTTCTGCTACCCCTGCTTCTGGACCATGTACTGCTCTGACAACTGATTTGAACTTACTGTGTCAGGGGGTTCTCCCCTGGCCTGGCAGTGGATGAAGTTAACCAAAGTCATTAGACTGTCCAGATAAGGCAGCCAGGCACCCTTGCCTCAACAATGGTGTGCGCTAGTTGCTACCTAACGATAGCGGAACTCAGTGTACCTTATTGTCCTCTCTCTGTAGCAGTGATAAACAAATAGTTCTTGGAGTGACTGGAGGAGAAACGTGCCCAGCTCTCGAGGAAGGGAACCAAAACTTGAATAGATGCGTTTGGTACACCTTACTTGCTGCCACTGGCCCTACTGCCCCGTCATCCTTGACACTGACTTTCTTGACCACTGGAGGTGGATGGATGGGACAGAAAGGCTTTGGGTTTTTTGGAATAGGCAGCATGGCTTGCATAGGTGAGAACCAGCTATGGGACTCCCCAGGACTCTCTAATCACCCAAACATTGCTGAATTTGCTTAAATAGACCCAGGTGTCAGTCCCTTGGCAATCCACATAATTTGCTGAAAGTGGTATCAAACTGACCAATGGACCACCGATAAAATCCCCCAAATAATTGTTTCCCTGGAAGAACAAGGGGTGGTCTTAAACACATGGTCACCTCACAACAGTTCTGTTTGACCGGTATGGAGGTCTGCTGGAGAATGATGGTTTACAGTAGACTTCAGAGCTCTGAATGAAGTCACACCCCTGTTAGCTGTTACAGTTCCAGACACATTGCAGCTCTTGTATGAGCTAGAAGCTAAAGAATATACCTGGTATGCTATAACTGATACTGCAAAGGCTTTTTTTTTTTTTTCCAACCCCACTGGTCAAAGAAGCAAGACCTCAGTTTGCCTTCACCTGGCATGGTGTGCAGTACATCTGGAACCAGCTGTCCCAAGGGTGGAAACACAGCCCTTGCTATCTGCCATGGCATCATCCACCAAAATTTAAAGCAACGGAATTCCAAAGAACTTTCCTCTACCTTGATGATGTATTGATTGGAGGAACAACTCCAGAAGTACTAAGTAAAGGGCTATAGGTAATCATTACCTTTCTCAGTGCTGGATTTGCCATTAAGCACTCCAAAGTAAAAAGGCCCCCTCAAGATATACAGGTTTTAGGCATGCAAAATGGATGCAGGTATGTGACAGCTGATCAAATTGCTTGGATAAGCACCATGGACCTCCACACAATAAACAAGAACCTGGGCTTTCTTGGGCATTACTGGATTTTGACGTATGCACATCCCTGGTGACAGCCAATTGACCAAACCCACATATCATGTGACCTGAAATAAGCCTCAATTTGAGTGGGAAGAGGAACACCGGCAAGCTTTGGAGCTGATCAGCAGGAGATAGTCCATGCCGTGGCATTGGGACCAATATGGGTAGGTAGCAATGTAAAAAACTTGTTATACACACATGCAGGAAAGAAAAGCATCATATGGAGTTTGTGGTACTGAGCATCTCAGGAGATGAGAGACACTGTTGGCACTCTGGTGTCAGAGCCACAAAGGAGCAGAAAATAACTACTCCCCTGTAGAGCAGTAAGTTATAGCTGCATATGCAGAGGGAGTATGAGTGCCACTGAAGTGAGTGCAGAGTAGTCACTGTGGTTATGCCCTAGACTAGCTGTCCTGAATTTTAGGTTCAAGGATTCAAAACCACTGAGGGAAGAACAACCACAACTACACGGCAAAAAAATGGCTACTGGTCCTTTGCCAATCTGCACATACTGGTTCAAGCTCCAGACCAGGATTAGTTGCATTTACTAAGTCAATGGCCAGCAATCAATAGTATGAGGATGACCAAATGCCTTTGGCTGTCAAAGCCCTAGCATATGATGAATTAAGTACTGAAAATAAACAACAGAGTTTGTTTACTGATGGATCCTGTAAAAAGCACAGCAGGAAACAGGAGGTGGAAATCCTTGGAACCCCTCTACAGGAGAAGCTGCCATCTGGAAGGAGACTTGAAGAAGTTTGAAAGGCCTTGAAAATAGCTTTGGAACATACTCAGGAGCATCAACAGACCCATGTGTACAGATTCCTGGATGGTGAATAATGTGGCAGGGAAATGGCTTGAAGAATGAAATTGTGGTAACTGGCAGCAGTGAGGAAAACCATTTTGAGCTGAAGAAGTATGGAAAGTAATACAACAGCTGCTTGAAGAAAGACCTGCTTAGTATGCCATGTTAATAATGCACATATCCCAAATTCAAAGGCAACTCAGGAAGAGGAACACAGCAACCAAGCTGACCAGCTGGCTCAACCTGACAGTAGGGATTTGGGATGGGAGCTTAAAGATAAACTATTTTTTAGATAGTGAGCTTAGGAAACTGCTGAGAACGCTGTGAGGGATCTAGCACAGAGAAGGCTGCTTAGGCTTGTCTCGGGAAGACATAATGCAGGCATTTAGGCAGTGTGATGTCTGTGGAATAACACAACATAGAGCGTGAATGATGAAACAGTATGCACAGTGAGAGAAATGAATGTTTGGAGATGCCTGGCAAGTGGATTATATAGACCAACACCTTCCTCCCCAGCAACACTGGCAGATGCTATGTTCTCATAGTGGTAGAGCATCACTAAGGTGGCTAGAAGCTTTCCCCACTCAGACAGCAAACGCAGGTAGCACCCTAGAAGGTGTAAACAAAGATATCTGTTGGCACCATGGAATGACACTTAGGCAGGAACCAGACAATGTAAGTCATTACAAAAATACAACCATTCAAGAATGAGTAGAGTGGGTACATCGCCAGGCAGCTGGAAAAGTAGAGTTGTGCAATGGTTTACTTAAACCCATGCAGCCCAAAAGAAAACCTGAGCTCATCTGGGTGATAAAGTACCAGCCAGGCCTGAGGATGCTTGGATTGAGAAGTCTGCAACAGTTGAAATCCCTAAGAAAGTGGTCTCTATTGTTTGAAGAGCAGGGTTTACTTACTGGTTGGTCTTTGGAAAAAGAACAATTAAATGTATGCCTTTACATAAAGTAAATAGAAGAGAGTAGTCTTACTTCACTTCATAAACTATGTTCTTGTTCATGTGTTTTGAAGGGACAAGGTCTGAGTCTTGTAATTAATATATGTTGAGATTGGTATGATGTTAACTCCTATAGTGTGGTTCCCAGAATGAGAGATAGTGTTTTATTGACCATATGTGCACATTGTTACAATGTCAATACCTATTGTCTGGGACTAAGGGTAGAGTTTATAAAGTATGTATTTTATGACTATGATGATGGTAAAATAGAGTTTATAATGGGTGTATGTTCAAACACTTCTTAAAGAGGTGTTTCACAGAGGTGAGGGGTGAAATGTATTGGCTACAACTGGCAGTCATCAGAGGCTGCAGGGGTGCCCTGTGCTTCTGCAGGAGAGCCATTCCAGCTGGCTCTGAAATTATCGTAAACAAGTCATTGCACACCAAAACTTCAACAAATCAAAGGAGCACATGGTACCTACACTTCAACATACCAAAGAAATATGCCTGTAACTGGAGGGGGTGGCCATCACTGTTGTTTGTTGATGTAGATGCTGAACCAGAGAGGATCACTGTATGATTTTTGGTTTTAAGTGTTTGTCACTTTTAGGGTGGTTTCCTCTGGCACTTTCTCATTCAGAGTGATGAACAGGATTGTTAGCAGATTCTGGATTTCGCTCATCACAGCCAAGTTCCTAGCAGAATCAGGCCCCTCTAATTCTACTTTTATGTCTTTACTTCTAGAGTTCCTGTCTCTGAGGCTGGTGGATGGCAATGGCTGTACTGGGCGGCTAGAAGTTTTCTACAATGGGACATGGGGGAGCATTTGCTCCAATCGTATGTCTCAGCTCACTGCAATAACTGTATGCAAACACCTGAACTGCGGAGACAGTGGGGAAATCGCAGAAGACTTCAAATATGGTAGAGGTTTGGGGCCCATGTGGCTGGACCACATTGAGTGTACTGAGCAACATACCTCTCTCTGGCAATGTCAGTCAGACCCCTGGAATCCTCAGTCGTGTGATAACCGAGCAGAAGAGACCCATATTTCTTGCACTGGTAATTAGAAATGCATCTCTACAGGACTGCCCAGACATATACATAAACGTATGCATGCGTATATGGACTTTGTAGTAATTACCTCATGTTCGTTTGTTACCTGGTATATATTATTTCTAGTTTCATGCAAACAGCACAAACATTTTTCTTTGTCTATAACCCTGATGTAAATGAGTGAATTAAAATTACATGAGTGTCACCAAGTGCAGTTACCCAGTGGAAATCCCAAGGAAGTCCCTGATAGGATGCTGCTATTTCATATTTTTAAAGCAAAAATCTATGCTACACAGTCAGTCTGTGAGAACTGAGTTAGGATCAGGCTTCTCAAGAAGTCTAGAGGCATGTATGTTTCTACATGTATGGAGGCATATCAGCACATATGTACTGTGCGTGCACGTAGCCATGAACAAGTGTATGAATTAGTTCAGTTCTGAAGGTCCATTTCTAATGCCTGCTCTTATGACAGTATTTCATACCTGTGGGTTCCCACTATAATATAAATGAATTCTAGATGACATTCAGATCTCCTGAAAGGCATTGCAGCTGCCTCACACGAGAAGAAAGAAAGCACAATCATCAGGAAGTTTTTTTAATTCACAGCAATAGCCAAACAGTGATCCACCAAGTACTAAATAGGCCATATATATATTATAGGGAAAAATTAACTTGATGATTGATTTTCAGGCATTTCATACTCCCTGACTCTTTTCAGAGAATAATAAAATTATTTACCTCAGTATTTAAATTCTGCAGGAAGAAAACAGGCAATGTCTCCAGCCCCATTTACTGAGTGTCCAAACTCTACAAGTTGTTCAGGTACCTCTATCTCTTTGTTTCTCTTTATTGGTCCCTAAAGACCTTCCTGCTGTTTCAGCAATACAGAAGGTTTCTGTGTTTTGCAGACAGGGAGAAGTTACGAGTCATAGGAGGAGAGGACGGATGCTCAGGCAGAGTGGAGATTTGGCACCAAGGTTCTTGGGGAACAGTCTGTGATGATTCCTGGGACGTGGCAGATGCTAATGTTGTATGCAGGCAGCTGGGTTGTGGATCTGCTGTGTCTGCTCTGAGTGAAGCTGCCTTTGGGGAAGGGACTGGTCCCATCTGGTTGGAGAAGGTGCACTGTAAAGGAACAGAGCTGTCTCTTTGGGACTGTCCTGCCAAGCCCATGTTCGGCAAAAACTGTGATCATAAGGAAGATGCTGCTGTGAATTGCTCCGGTTAGTGACTGGTCCTTTGGTTCATTACACAGATCTGGGAAGGAGGTGGATAGAGGAACATTATGTCAGCTGTACATCCCAGTGACTAGCCCCTTCGTAATTTTGACAGCAGGAACCTCACAAATTATGTGAAGATATTCTCCCTATTTTTCACACTTGCCTCTTCCTTAACCTGGACTCGCCTTCCTTTTGCAGGTATGACAGAAACAACAGCATCACCCACTAGAGCAGGTAAAACATTACTTCTTCCCCCTTTCTCTCTCCCATCAAATGAGGATTTAATGTCCCTGATACTGCATAGCAGGTAAATCACCAGTACATTCCAGCTCACCAGAAAGCATCTCCTGCAGCCTTTTGTAAAGGAGAGCCGAGTGGCGCTATCCTAGCTGCTGAATTCTAGCTGCTTAAGCATGACCCACAGCTGGGCAGCAGATGACCTGCCTTACCCTGCTAGCATGGGCACAGCAGGAGGCTACAGAGGAGCAGCCCTTTGGGTCCCCTGGTTCTCTACATGTTGCTTCTTCATTTCCATTCAGATCTTCCCCGCCGCCCTGCCACAGAGAGTAGGAGAATTTCAACGCCTGTCATCTTCTGCATTATTCTGGGGGCCCTTCTCTGCCTGGTCCTTGCCATTTTTGCCAGACAGATCCGAAGTGCCAGGGCACAGCAGAGAGGTAGGTCCCTCAGAACTGGTAGGAAATGCCTCCTTGACATGGCTGGTGAGTGTTTAGTTGGCTGGGGCGGCTGGGGGGATGGGTGACTGAGATGAATGGCATCTGCTGCCACACTGAGATTTTCACTTACCATCTGGCAATAAGACACCCCAGCAGTTCTTATTCTCAGTCAGTACTCTCTCGGTGACTTTCTGGGTACCAACCAGGCCATGTAGACCCCTTTAGGTCACTTCTCCTTTTCATGACCCCAGCCTGAGTATGAGCAGAGACTGTGTGAGTGATTGTTGCCTTTTACTTTCAGGCTCCAGACTGTCCTATGACCCCTTCTCTGAGGCTGTCTATGAAGAGATCGACTATAACGTGATGAGAGAAAAGCAGGGCATGACTGGCCTCTCAGGTCTGTGTGTCTTGATCTTGTCAAGAGGAAATTCCTCTTGGTGGCCCAGATCCCAGTTTGATACTTTGCAGCTCCCAAATCTACTGGGAATTGGAAAATTCCTAGATTTGAGGAGAGGGATTTCCTGTCCACTCGACTCTGCCAGTTTCTCTCCTAGGGACAATTCATTTTGTGCTGTCCTCACTGCAGCCATAGAGCATAGATCAGTACAGGTCAAACAAACAAACAAAAAACCCCACAAAAAACACAAGCAAAAAAAAAAAAGGCTTTTGCTGTAATTATTTAAAGCAGGAACAAATAAAGGAATAATTTGTATCTCCCTCCCAGCAGCTATGTGTCTCTGTAGGCTTCCTCCTGTCGATTGCTTTTCTCCCTTGAGCCATGAGAGGTGTTACGGAGCCCCTGAGGGATTTTTGGCTGTTCCACCGTAAGCCCTTTACCTTGCAGGAGTAATACTGACTGCCCAAGAATCTGTTGGACTCAGATGGTATTACTGTAGCATACTCTTTTCCTCATGATGCAGTCTTAGCAGCTAAGGAGAGTTTAATCTGATATCATGCTCTTTTTCATTTACCTAGATTCTTATTCAGAGAGTTCAAAACCAAAGGCACAGTTTTACAGTGGGGACAGTGATGAAGAAAATGATCCTGGAGCAACTCAAGGTAATGGAAGACAGGGATCCTACAAAGAAAGAGACCCCAAATCAGGGTAACTTTTAAGTTCCAGAGCATTTTTGGTGATTAAACCTTTTTTCTTGCTGCACTTCATGTCTACTAGTGATGTTTTGATGTGAACCAAAAATTTCTGTTTAACTCTTGTGGTAGAAGAATGTCATACAATCTCGTATACAAGTGCTAGTCTTCCCTTCTATATGAGAAGTTGAAAATAAAAGTATTGCACTCTTCACAGGATCCAGTCACATGAATCCAACAATTTGACAACTGCTTCTCGCAGAAATCACAACTGTAACAGCTTGTAAGCTGTTGCTTCATTTCTGAGATAAATGGAGAGAATTAAGACAGAGGAAAAACACGCTCCAAATAGGAACATTGGCATACAATTGGAGTTGATTAGAGAATTTTAATCAGAGTGATCTGAAGAAAATGCAGTTTGCCATATATGGGTTTTTTTTAAATTTGAAAAAGCTGAGGGAGAGCAAGTGTTTGGAGAACTGCATTTTCCTAGAGCTGATCAAAAAGCTCTCTCAGCTATAGCCTGGTCTCTGAGAGATCAACCGCCAAAGGCACAAGCAGTTCTGGACCTCAGCTGCCCATATCCCAGACTCTCTGCTGTGCTATGTCTTTAATTTTATTTTCTATGTTTTTTCTTATATTAAGTTTTTTTATTATTTAAAATTAAACTAAAAGCTTTTCTTTTCCTTACTTGCTTTGAAATGCTTGTCAAGAAGATAATTATTCCAAATAAGATCTCTTTCTTCTTTAGATTGAATATTGAGTACTAGGTAAAAAGTGAAATAGGAGTGCTTTGATGGACTTTTAATTTTATATGTATATTATTTGTAAGTCCACGTGTGTATGGATATACCATAAAACAGTGAAAACTAATATTCTCTGAGGGATGGATTCCAGTTAAGTACAGACCACAGAGCAAGCTGCCAAGTTCAACAAGGCCAAGGGCAAGGTCCTGCACCTGGCTCAGGGCAGTCACCAGGATCTGTATAGACTGGGGGATGAATGGATTGAGAGCAGCCCTGCGGAGAAGGACTTGGGGATACTGGTGGGTGAAAATTGGATATGAGCTGGCGATGTGCACTCGCAGCCCAGAAAGCCAGTTGTATCCTGGGCTGCATAAAAAGCAGCGTGGCCAGCAGGTCAAGGGAGGCGATTCTGCCCCTCTGCTCCATGCTGGTGAGAGCCCACCTGGAGTACTGCGTCCAGCTCTGGGGTCCCCAGTACAAGAAAGACATGGACCTGTTGGAGTGGGTCCAGAGGAGGGCCACAAAGAGGACTGGAACACCTCTCCTATGAGGCAAGGCCGAGAGAGCTGGGGTTGTTTAGCCTGGAGAAGGGAAGCAAAACTGCAGATATTTTTCTCCAAAGGTTTGGCCTAAGTTTGTATCCACATGTCAATAGGCAAATGGCCAAGGGTGGCTACTTAGCTAGGCCATTTCAGAGAAATTTAACAGAAGGTGTTTAAAGTAATGAAAAGACAAGGAAGCAGGTGCTACTCAGAGATAAATGAGGAGTAATTTGTCATTGTGCAATTATGAAATGCAATGGGGAATCTTACTCTGAAATAAACGCTGTCACTAACTATGTCCTTCTCCAGATCTTCTTCCCCCTCCTGTCCCTCCTCCACATTGATTTTCGCTTCCTACTTGTTACAGCAATGTATAACAATTATTGGAGCTATATCATTGTTGCCTGGAATACCTTAGAGTCCTCAGGAGGATTCCTGATTTATTATTCTTCATTATCATCATGATAATGTCAGTATTACAGGCCCTTATAGCTGGAGCATCAGCTACTGCTTTCTCTAGTGGAAGATCTTTCCCCATTACAGTTAATATCTGTACTGTTCCAGAGGTCTCTCCACTGCCTGGAAATGCCCTGGAAGATGGTTATGATGATGTGACAGAAGCTCCTGGACCTAAAGATGCTTCTCTTTCTGGGCAGAATGAACAGGAAATCATTGGGATCCCTCAAGAACATGACAGAAACAAGGATGCACGGACAGGTGAGGCCAGATGAGAAGTGCTGTTAGTTTTCATCATCTATAGTTACTGTACTGAACTCAGGGAAAATTAAGGTGGAGGGTACCTCAAGGGATCACCTCAGTTTTCGCTAACCACTGTCAGGAAGGAACACTACCTACCTACACAGAGAGTGTTGGTTAGATGTTTTTTTATGCTGTTCTTACAGCCATTCAATAGCAGTGTTTCCACAGCCTCTGCAAGTAATCTTGTCCCCATGCTATGTTTTCCTTACAGCTATAAAGTTCTTGCCTGTGGCCTAACCCAAGTCTTCACTGCTGCAAATTAAAATTGTTACTGATTACAATGACCGTGGGAATAGAGGAGTTGCATTCATTTTGTAGCAGCCGTTTAAGTACTTGAAGATTGTTAACATATCTCCCCACAGTTCTGTTTTGTATTTTGTTTCTCTAGACTGCTGCAACCTAAATTAGTCAATCTTCTACTTAGATCTTGTTGACTAGATCTCTGCTCATTCTGTATGTCTCCACTCAGGCTATGTCAGTAGGTCCATATCTTCCAAAAAGTGTTTCAAACCCAAAATTTTACAGTATTTCTGTACAGCATGGTATTAAGACCTTACTAGTGTCAGGTAGAGCAGAAGGACCACTTCGTAGGTGTTAGAGGATATCCTTCTGTTGATGCATGCTAGTGTGATGTTTCCTTTTTTTGCAACAGCATGACTCTCCTGACAGTGTTCAGTGTCTGGCCTGATGCAACTTCAAATACTGCTCTGTAAAATACTACATACCATTAGACACCAACCTTTCTAATTATGCAGTTGATTGTTTCTCCCTTCATCTGTAGTCCTTCAAGCGTCATTAGATGTCATTCTATCTTCATCAAAACTTTGCCAGGATCATTTGAATTATAGTATAGTATGGTACCATCTGGAGAACGTAATAAGAACATGTGTCTTTCATCTTAGGACTTAACAAAAAAACTTGGTTGTATTGAGGGCTGTCAAAGAATCTTACCTGGTACAGTGAGCTACATAAAGAATAGCATTTTTGACTGAATTTGTACCCAGTCTACAGAGGTTTGAGTTAGACCATATTTCTATAGTTTACTTGTGAGTTGAGTGACAATTTGCTCTACTCCCTTATAAAAGCACTTTTAGATAATGAAAAAGAAAAATCAGATTTATCTGGTGTGATTTATTTTTGATAAATCCATGTTACCTGTTATCTACCTGCTTTTTTTCTTCTGTGTCCTTACAAGTAGTTTATTTGTTCTCATGTCTTTCTGAAGTCAAACTTTCTGCAACTCCTAATCTTGATTCTTCTCCCACACATACCATCTTAAAAATAAGCATATGTTGTTCATGTTTTCCCAGTCCTTCAGAGCCTGTTCTCTGTGAGTTCTTAAAGACAGTGGATAGTGCCTGGAGGATGGATTCAGCTAGGTTTTTATCCTAGAACTAGATTCGGTCCATCTAAATCAAAAAGAATTAACAAAAAATTTAAGATAGGCTTTTATTTCTCTGTGCACTTAATATAACTGTGGAACACCTTCTGATCAGCGGCTGAACTCCACCTTTTGGGGTAGTGATAAATACATTTGACAGACTGAAAACATGAAAAAATAATCAAAACATTTTAGGACTCAAAGTGATTAGAGAAACATAAGAGATTTTTTTTTTTAACAGCCCATGATTATATTCATTTTAACATTATGTAAGAAATTGTATACATTGCCTTACGTAAACGAATTCTCTGTCTTTGTGAACCTCACTTGCTGTTGACTTCATACAAAGCTGCTCTGCTGTATTGACAAACTTTGCTGTTTGCAAAAACCATGTATAGTTAAGGTATATTCATCTCTCTCATCTGTTGTTTGTCTTCTAAAAATTAGGAGATACTAGGGGTTGCTAAATCTGGTAGTCTGATGGAGTTTCCATGACCCTCAGCCCAGCCAGTAGTGAGGCTGAGCACGCGTTGGCATGCACACACATGCACGCACATATAATACGTATATGCAGGTGCACAAGGCTGGCTTGTAGAGCCAACGCAGACAGAAAACACAGCACTCAAACACGAGCAGCACCGATGGCCTTATCCTGCTCCCCTCCCTGGCTGACCAGGATGAAAGCCTATTGGTGGAAAATATGTATGTACACACACAGTATGGATCCCTCCAGCAGTTGGCCTTAGACACTTAGTCTATCCACTAGCTGCCCCTGGATCCTAGGTCTCTCAAGTTGCTGGCACCCGCATGTACTAACAGATCTACACACACGCACCCCTCCCACACCCACATGCGCATGAACACTACGTTTCCACCAGTAACTGGCCTTAGACACTCAAGTCTATCCAGTACTCACACGCAGACAGACAAGCACGCACATGTGCACACACATGCACGCGCACACACACACATAGCCCTTTTTATTCCCTTAGCATTGTATTTTCTCATGTTTCTTCCTCCCCAAACTACATTGGTCCCTCCTTCTCTGTGCTTTTGTTTCCTCCTCTAAGCAGCCCATAGTAAATTGTCTCTAATCCCAAGATGCTCTTCCCCTGTATCTCATAATAAGTCTCATACCTTTGTGGGCAACACCACCCCTCAGGCAGTAAGGTGGGTTACATCCTCTTAATGGGTTTCAAACACAGACAAGGGGCTGAGCACTCTCCTGTGATAGCCCTGGGAGGAGCCAGTTCAGGGCACATTTGTGGGATGGACAAGGACAGATCTAAATTTGCAACGTGTCAGGTAACACTCGAGGCAATAAAAACGGAGTTGGGTTATTTAGGGATTTTGAAGAATTGCCTTTATTAGAAGTGTTTAAAGTTAGATCAGTAACCTGTTTTCTGGGAACAGCAAGCTTGATCCTTGGATATGTGTACATGTAGCAGGAGGCAGGACGAGACAAGCATTTTTCAGGTCTTTCACAGCCATGCATATCTAAGGTTCTAATTTCTGGAGGTGGCAACTGACAGCCCATGCTGCCAGCTGCATAACCATGTAAAGGTAATACGTACAGAATATGCATTTCTCTCAGTGTTCTTCCCTTCATGTTTTCAGACTGGAGTCCTAATGTGTCAGGAAGCAGGACTTCTGAGGCTGCGAGACATTCATCCCCTGCTCTTGAAGATACGGGCTATGATGACATTGAAGAGCTAGGACAGTGATAGAGGCTGCTGAGCTGTACTGACCACTTTTGGAAATACACCTCTGTTCATAAAATGCTAATCGGGTACTAGTAGAACCAGAACAACCTGCATTTAGGATTAGTTTACCTAAGTTTGTCTTATTTGCAGAGAAGTGATTACATACTTAGAAGATATACAAGCATGACTGTTAAGAAAATCTTTCTAACTTCCCATATAATTTCTTGTTGCCAAGACTGCCTGGACACTTTTTGCGTTTTGTTTCTGAATATTTTCATTGTAATTTTTTTTTTTTCTACTGAGGTAATATATCATGACATTTTCTTATTAGAAACTGTTTAAAGATCTCCTCTCAAATTTATGCTTCTCTTCACAGATACACAGGACAGCTTTCTGGAGATTGTTAGGAATGGAGACTGAACTGCAAGAAAATCATCAAAGTTCTGTTTCATCTTTTGGATATTCTTACTTGTCACACAGAATGTGAGGACTAGAATTCATTTTCTAGGTAGTGCTTTGTGAGATGAGAAACTCAGCAAGAAGTTATTCTTGTCCTCGCTTTAGATGCAGCTCTGCCATTTGAATTATGTACAAGAGAATCACACATTTGATTGGAGGGAAAAGCTTCTCTTTTCTTTCCTCCCTCCATAGCATGATGACTTATTGTCTCCCAAAGTCATACCAATTACATAGTAAGAGAAAGTTTAATTTCTTTCCATAAATGGCAAGTGATGGTCATACCTATACATGTCTGTCATTTTTTTTAATCGTATCAAGGCAGATTGAAAAAGTCCACATGTTGATGGAATAGAAGTTGAAGTATTGTTGTCTTGGCTCATAATGAAATTTCTTTCAGGTCTCGAAACAAAAAGCCTCCCTTGCATTCTGTCATCTCTCTTGGACTCCACTTATCCCTCAAAACCTGAGCCCTACCCTTCCAGTAGGCACTCCCTCTCCACCCAAGAAAGCTGCTAATTTATTCAAGAATGTGAAGGAAATTTATTATAAACCTTATTCAGATCAACTAAGTATCTCAAAAGAAAAAGGTCTGAACCTTCAACATGGGTATGATTTTTTGGATCAGAGCTTAAATGTAGTGGAAACGCAGGCTGTTGAGAATTTGCCTAGAGCATGCCAGTGTAATGATGTGTCTAGAAGAAATACCTGTGAGTCACCATAAACTAGATAAGACTTATTTGTACATAAAAACAACAGTTGTTCTAGCCATCACGATACATCAAGAAATGTGAGTTTGTCCCAGGCAGCTGAGAAGACACACAGACAAACAAATCCTTTCCCAAACAATCTCACTATCCTCATTAGCCCAGCATCAGGACACCTTACAACCCTGTGCCAAGGACTGAGGCAGAAGAGATTGCACTGAGATGAACTGAATACTTCTTTGTATTCAGTGAGTATCCTGGCAAATCTATGCTTCCCTAGCAGTCTCCCTCTCTGCACTGAATGAAGCTTCCTGTGCAATATCATGAGAGCACAGGAGTACTCTGTACTGCTATGATTCTGTGATGCATAGGATGTTTCTATCTGTGTAACTCTACCCTTTCCAAGCCAGACGGGAAGCAGTGAGGAGGAAATTCAAAAGGCAAGACAAGTCTGGCAAAGACAAGACACTTTGTTAAAAGAAATCCTAAGGGAAAGGAACCACCTTAACATTTAGCTCCAAGCCAAGAGTGGTTTACTTCTTCTCTGGTTAAACCTAGGATCACAGGAGGACATAAAGCCATCGCAGCAGCCAAGTCTTTGAGAAAGGAATTCTTACTGATTGCTTCTCCTGCAGCATCAGCAAGACCTGACAGGCATGCTACAGGCATGCTGTGAGACACAGAAGGAGAGAAACACATACATCTGTGTAATTTAACTGCATCACGCCATCTGCTTTTGCTGGCTCACTAATAGAAAAACTAGAGTGGAAATAGCGTTTGCCAGGAATAGGAAAAGGCAGCAGAAACTGACAGAGGCAACCAATTCTGCACCAGAAACAGGTGTAGCAGACTACTTATCCCTGTCAGAATTACCTATACAGAACAGGACATCCCCTCCCTGGGTGCACTGGGCTGGGCTCCAGCTACTGGGAAGGAGGAATCCCCTGGGCATCAGAGATGGCAACAACTGATGTCATTGGCATGATCCAGTTGAGCTGAGTACTCCCCAGGTGACGGTATATACGGGCATATAATCCTCAATGTGGCAAGTGGACTGATCTTGGAAATATGCCCACAGTGTTAAAATTTGTAACCAAAAGCCTATAGCATTACTGATGCACCTGAACAGGACCTGCCCAAGGAAATTTTTAGGATAATTGGAGTAATCGGTTTGAAAGCATATTAACAGAACACAAGAATAAGAGATGTAAAGTGGCTTAACTATGTGTCCTGGTTTCAGTTTGGATAGTTAATTTTCTTTCTAGTAGCTGGTACAGTGTTATGTTTTGGGTTTAATATGAGAAGAATGTGATAACACACTGATGTTTTCAGTTGTTGCTAAGTCAAGGATTTTTCAGCTCCTCATGCCCAGCCAGCAAGAAGGCTGGAGGGGCACAAGAAGTTGGGAGAGGACACAGCCAGGGCAGCTGACCCAAACTGGCCAAAGGGGTATTCCATACCATGTGGTGTCATGCCCAGTATATAAACTGGGGGGAGTTGGCCTGGGGGGGGATTGCTGCTCAGGAACTGACTGGGCATCTGTCAGCGAGTGGTGAGCAATTGCATTGTGCATCACTTGTTTTGTATCTTCCAATCCTTTTATTATTATAATTTTCTTCCTTTCTGTCCTATTAAACTGTTCTTATCTCAACCCACGTGTTTTACCTTTTTCCTTCCGATTCTCTCCCCCATCCCACAGTGTCGTGGTTTAACCGCAGCCAGCAAGTAAGCACCAGGCAGCAGCTCACTCACCGCCCCGCCCCGCCCCCCCCCCCCCCCCCCCCCGCCCCCACGCCCC